CACAGACAACAAACACACTGAGAGGGAAATTATAGAAACAATACCTTTTACAATAGCACCGAGGAAAATGAAATACCTTGGAATTAATCTAACTAAAGCAGTCAAAGATCTTTTCAATGAAAATTACAGTACTATGAAAAGAGAGATCATAGAGGATTTCAGAAAATGGAAAGATATTCCATGCTCCTGGATAGAAAGAACCAACACTGAAGGTGGCCATACTCCCAAAATGGCTGTAAAGATTTAATGCAATCCCTACCAGACTACCACCAACTTACCTCACAGAGCTACAGAAATCACTCCTAAAATTTATTTGGAGCTAGAAAAGACCTAGAATAGCAAAGGCCATCCTGGGCAATAAAGACAAGGCAGGAGGCATTACAATTCCTGACTTGACATTATACTACAAGGCTACTGTGATAAAATCAGCATAGTATTGGCAACAAAATAGACCTGAGGATCAAAGGAATACATTAGAAGATGCTATAACCCCTATGAACACACTCAGCTACCTTATCTTTGACCAAGGGGCCAAACATACTCACTGGAAGTAAGATAGACTCTTTAAAAAATGGTGCTGGAAAAACTGGCTCTCTACATGCCGAAAATTAAACTTGACGCAGGTCTATCACCATGCACTAAACTAAAGTCAAAATGAATTAAAGATCTAAACTTATGGCAGAGACACTAAATCTCCTGGAAGACAACGTAGGAGGAACTCTTGAAGACATTGGGGTAGGCAAAGAGTTCATGAACAAAAGTGAAATTGCAGGGAAACAGTTGAAAGAATTAACAACTTGGACCTGCTCTGTCTGGAAATCCCCTTTAAACCAGCTATTCCTCTATAAGGAATTTTCCTGGAGGATCTAAAAACATCATATCATAGGGATATATGTGTGCCGATGTTTATAGCGGCACAATTTGTGATAGCCAAATCTTGGAAACAACCAAGATGCCTATCACCTGAGGAATGGTTGAAAAAGATGTGGAATTTTTACACAATGGAGTATTACTCAGGTATAAAGAATGATAAACTCGAAGTCTTTATATTGAAGTGGATGCAACTTAAACATATACTCATAAGTGAAATAAACCAGACACACATGTGTAAATGTCATATAGTTTCCCTAGTATAAGAACTCAAAAGAAGAAATACAAATAGGAAGGTATAATACAAGTAAAAGGAAAGCAAGAACTCGAGGACTAACTAATTAAGAGAGGGAAAAAAGAAGAGCTAGGAAACATGACAGTGACAAGGCACACAGTTATATGTAGAAGATGGGCAAGGCAATGATCCTGAGAATCTCCAGAGGATTTTTGAATCTAGCAGTTAATTGGAAAGATTCTCACTCTGACTAACTATATATACTGATACCTGTGAACTAAGCAACTGCACTGAAGATGGTAATCTGTAATAGTAGGTTCATGCTTGGAGTGCCTGTTACTCTGGTCCTCCTTATAAGGGCTGCCTGTCATGACATGCCAGTTGCTGCCATGCTATCTCTTGGGTAGATGATTGTTCAAAAAGAAGGGGGTGGTGAATGAAAGCAAGAGACAGGAAAAGGAATATTGTGGGACTGTCCTGCTTCAAGGTTCTATACGGTTAGTTTTTTTGGACTTATGTGTAAACATAAGAAGTATATAATTCTTTGTGCCTATTTTTAAAATATGTTCTAATTTTTAAATGTTTTTTCACCATATTCTGTAGGAACTTAAAGTTCAACATATAAAAACTTGATGAAAAATACCTGTTCCATGTTATGCCTAAGATGTCTGATATTCAGACAGATAGTGAGGTTAAGCTTAACAGCCTAGGTTGCATGGTAATAACAATAGGCTTGTATTATGAAGGATTAACAACCTAAGTTTGCAGACCAAAATGAGAGAAAAAGGAGGGCCACAAGTAAAGCCAACATTTTGGCCCTAGCCTTCCCAGGTCAGTTAAGTCTCAGGACATGTAAGAACTTGTACTGTAAGGTCATGTAACTCATTAGTGTCCCAAATTTTCTGATCAAGGAGATTATGGGGCCAAGGAGGAAAGTGATCAAAGATGTAGAGTGTCCCTAAGGACAGTCACATGGTGAGAAAACATTCTCTCAGGATTTCACAGAGAGCACATTGGCCAAACAATGGCTGTGACTCATCCACATGGCTGACACTGACAAAGGTTCTACAATCTAAGACAAAGGATCTCAGGATAAATCCTGAGGGCATTTCATTGACCTTATCTGACCCAAAAGCTACAACTCCTGTTGCATAGGTCCTGCTTTATCTTGGTCTTAACCATCCAGAAGAAAAGTATGAAAATAAAATATAAAATGTAAAGCCATGCTGTTATGCTGAGCTGTAGGGGACTCAGGTCAACAATTTCTGACATTGCCAGTGATGCGGAAGACCCAATATTATTATGGACTACTGGACTCTTTTAGAATATTTTGCTGAATTAACACACCTATAATGTTCAAATAACAGAACATAGCAGAAAAAGAGAATACAGATGTTTGATCATTTTGTATCTTTGTATTCAAAATGGTTAGGATAGATATATAGTTGCATTCTCTTTATGAATAGGGAGATTTGTTCTAATAGTGTTTGTAAGTAAGATATCATGTCTGCATCTTGTAGAGAAATTAACCACTAGGAAGAATGTATGCAATGTGTTAATTATTGAAACTATCCTACCAATTTGGTTTGAAAAAAAAAGATGTCATGTCTGCATCTTGTCCTCTGTATAACTACTATGAAGACAGCAGTACGCAATGTATTAATTATTGTAACTGTCCTACTAACCTGTTTAGAAACTGTTTCATTGCTATTTTTCCCATTAAAATCAGTAAAAATTTAAAAAGAAAAAAGGAAAATAATAATTTTGAAAAAAAAAATAAAAATTGAACGTACCCTTGGTTCTCATGCTCCACTTGCGCCCCCTGTTGGTCCTGAGCGCCTTTGCTTGGAGGTTTATGTCTGGGATCACACTTATGTCCCCTCACTGTGTCTCTTGCACAGTAGTACATGGCCGTGTCCTCGGTTTTCAGTGAGTTCATTTGTAGATACAGCATATTCTTTGCATTGTCTCTAGAGATGGTGAATCGGCCCTTCACTGAGTCTGGGTAGTCTGTGCTACCACCACTAGGGCTAATCCACCCAAGCCACTCCAGTCCATTTCCTGGAGCCTGGCGGATCCAATACATGTCGTAGTCATGGAAGGTGAATCCAGAGGCTGCACAGGAGAGTCTCAGGGATCCCCCGGGCTTCACCAAGCCTCCCCCAGACTCTACCAGCTGTTCCCCACACCTGACACCTGCAAACACAGAAAAATCCTCATCATTAAACTGTCACACAGGCACACTTTTATTCCATCCATATTTATCTGCACCTTCAGCATCTCTTGTTCAACACCAGTTACCTTTTAAAACAGCGACAAGGAAAACACAGATGACTGTGAGCTTCATTGTGACCCTCCTGTGCTCAGTCGTGATCAGAGAGTGAGGACAACAGGACATCCAGGACTGGGCTTCTCTGCAGACCTGCAGTCAGGGCTGGGCTGGTTTTCATCAGCAGAGGGAGGCCCTATTTGCATGGCCCCCTGCTATATAGACAGCTTTGCTGTGGAAGCCTCAGCTAGAGATGGGTCGAGAGCACAGAAGGGCCTTCTGGGAGATAATTTGTGATACTATAACAATGAATATAAAATTTTTATTATGTGCATGGGTTGTAGTAAATGCTTATTCTCATTAGTTTTCAAATATTTGTTTTTGTATGTAACAGATAGGTTCATTCATTTACTAAGTTGTGCATCTGTGCACCTAGATGTGAGCTCACAGGTAATAAGAACATATACTGTAGGTGGACATGTGTTCCTCACACAGTATTTAACTGCTCCATGACCAATACAAAGACAGAGGTACCAGGCTTAGTGGTGTTTCCTGACCTCTTATTCTAATGAGAAAATACAACATGATTTTCAGCCTTCTAAATATTTCCTAATAAATAGACATGCAATATTATTTAAGTCTGTAGTTTATTCTGATATATCCAATCCTCTTAGCTCTCTCTGGATTACTACTTTGGTACAAAATTATTTATCTTATATATAATAATTTTAATGATGAATAAATTAGATATATTTTAATGGAAATATGGATGTTGGAAAGTGCTACCAGAGTCATTCTCATGGTCATGTAACACAATGGAGAAATACCCACAAAGAACATTGGGAATGGATTGTTTTGAGGTCAGATGTGCACCCTCTCATCTTTCTATCTGAGCCCAGGACACTGAGATCTGGGGGCTGCCAGCAGCAGGAAGAGGAGACAGTACTTTTCTGTTGTCTTTCAGATCAGCTTTACAAATACCAGAAGCACTTAATTTTGTGAACAAGAATGTGAATTTAATTAAATGTGTGACGTCATTCAATCTGAGATGTGAGCATCTCATGAAGCATTTGCATGCAGGATGATCTCCTTTATATAGAGGTGTGAGGGAGTGAGAGGAGGTCCCCGTGTGTAGCCTCCCCTAGGGTGAGGTTTCTGACTCAGCTCTCAGGGCCAAGTGCCCTCCCAGGGCTACACTGCACTGGGCTTAGATCCTGACTCCAGAACAGGACTTCTGGTAGAGAATCTGGACAGAGGCCTCATCGAGTTATCAGATGAAGGACAACTTTATAGATATGTAGACTAACCCACAGTGCAGCAGTTACAGTGACTATGAGTTATTATGCACAATATGTATACATATGTATAATCCCACTGCATACATGTATATACATACAGGGGCATATATGCAAAACAATTTCCTGATACAGCCTAAAATCAATTTTTGTCCTCTATTTGTTAAAATTTAAATATTTAAAAGATTTAATGTTCATTTTATTTTTTAATATCTCCACACATATACCATACGTAATGATTCTATTTATTCTGTGGAGTTTGTACATGTGCATATTACATCTTAATTTTTCTTTTTAGCTGTTCTTCCTCTGTCTGCACTCTTCATGTTCCTCCAACTGTTGAACATCTTTCCAAGTATAATACTGAACATAGGCATTATGCAAGATGTAGGCTGGGAGTATATTGAGCTTTTTTGCCTCTCTGAGGTCCCCTGCACAAGGCCTGGTGTTATCTTCCTCCAAGACAAGGCATGATGAAAACAGTCTTTCATGTATCTGAATATTGGCAGATGAAGATAACCTTTTGCTGTGTAGTAACTGCCCCTCAGCTCCCATGATATAGTGGCACAGCACATGGTTAGCACTGGGCACTCATTTATGTACTTGCAGAGGCTGTCACAGAATATGATACAAGCGCATTTATTAAACCCTGTGATAGACATCATTTAGACCAACCAAAAGCCTGAGAACATAAGGGCAATTCTGCCATTATATTCCCTGGAAATGAGAATGGAAAATGATTCTTCAACTGTGGAACCTCTTTGGAAATTTCTACCAGAGGAGCAGCTGGCCAGGGATCATAAGAAAGTGAGGCCTTCAGTGACCTTACTATGATGTTTTCCTACATCTCCTCAGGATGCTTCCATCAGCTTCTTCTCCTCCAGGTCTCCCCAGTTGAAGAAGACTGCTTGTAGGCACTGTTGCTTCACACATGAAACTAGACAGAAATTCTCACCAAGTACAGACCTGTACAAGGTAGAAAACCAAACATTCACCCTCAGCTACCCATAAAGTGGGATAGGCGTTTAACTCCTCATGTGGAGTAAGGATGTCATGTGAAGAAGTGACCTGTGAAGGATACTGTGGGAAGTCTGGAGACTCTAATGGTGAGTAGTTGGTGCCTTCTCCTTGATGCCCCTGCACAGGGGCCACTCCACCCATAGCAGTGCTTGTGTTTAAAACTTTATGATAAGAAAGTGATATAGGGCTGGTGAGATGGCTCAGTGGTCTAAAGCACCTACTTAGAACAAGCTTAGCAAAGCACAGGGACCGCGGTTCAATCCCCCAGCACCACATGCCAGCCAGCCCCACCCCCTGGTGGGCTGAGCTGGCCACACACACACACACACACACACACACACACACACACATAAATAAAAAAAATTTAAATAAAAGAAAGTGATATAGGCATTGTAGGCTGTTTGAATACCAAAGGTGGGAGGCAAACATATAGAGGCACCAGATAAACTGTCTTTCTGAATTTTCAAATATTGTACATTGTATTCAAAATAAAGAGCTGGAAAATAATGAACAATTAAAGAGGCATTTTTAATGTATTTTCTTCTTACACCACCTCACCACGCAGCTCAGACTGGTGATGGTCTCCTGCTTTCAGCCTCCCCAGCACTGGGATTACAAGCATGTGCCTCTATGCCTGGACTCTGACTGGTTCATCCTGCCCTGGGAGCAGGGCTGGCATGGCATGTGGTGCTAAGAAAGAAGAATTGTCTGATTTGTGAAATGGCCGGCATTCATTAGTACTGCAGTTACTGAAATGTGCATTCTCATAATGAAAGAGTCACATGACTCTAGACATCCAGGAAGGAATAAATAATATTAAATGTATTTTAAAAAGAAAAGAAACATCATCCCCATTGACATTTTGTGGAGAAAGTTGGCTGCAAGTAACTTGACATTTTTCTTGATCAACACAGAACCGCTTTCCATATACTGTTTCTATCATATAAAGAGGTAACAGTTTCTCCTCTTCTGAGCAGCACATGAGCCAGCTAGGTGTCACAGAGTTTGAGGAAACCACAGCTCCATAAAATGGAGGATTAGATCAAATGCACATCCAACATGCTTTAACAAACTCAGGGCCAGACAAATTTAACAAATAATGGGTTTCACTGAGTATTTGTTACATCTCTAAATTTGTGCTTACCTCACTTACACTGCCATGACTAGTTTCAGGAGATGTGGCTTTAATCTTAGGCACTGGTGTAGAGGGGTAGTTTAGGTCACTTACATGTGGAACAACTCTCAGGCTAGTGTCTCAAATACAATGTAACACTTGAGACAGGGCTGGAAAGGAGACCACTAGTTTCAAAGGGGTTCTTCCCACTTGGGTGATCTTAATGAATATTCCTAGGTCAACTCCTGAGATTATTTGGAGGTGCACATATGCTCCCCAAGGATATCCTGTAGATCAAAGCAGGTCATAAATATTTTTTAAAACAATCCTAACCTGCTATACAATCCATTTGAATGCCTAATACAACAATCAGCACATTTTTCCTCATATGTCTGAAAACACTCATCACTCTGTGTCCCCAATCACTGAGTGGTTGACAGTCCCTATGAGGATCTCCTTCAAAATTATTACCTCTAAGTCTGTTTCACAACCCCAATATGAGCAATATGCCAACTTTTCCTTATCACAATTACCCCCCTCTACCTTTGGACATATGTACAATCTATGTTGAACTAGGGTCATGTCATCCCTAGTTCTTGTTGCATGAACATGGGACTATTGACTGATTGCTCGTTTCTACCTTCACAGCCTGAGAATAAGAGGATATTTAAGTCAGCCTTATTATCCCAGTGACAAATTACACATTGTATGCATTGGGACAACAAATGCCACAGCCTGTTGTTCACAGGCAAGGTGTAAAGAAACAAGCACAGCCTGCCTGAATCCAAAAGAGTCTAATTGTGGGCATTCAAGGGTGTAGTTGCATAAGGGATCCTTTTGTACTGCTGAACCAGAACCCATTGTTGCCCACTGTATGTTAGATGTCAAGATCAACATCACAAGTAGTGATGGCACACAGAGATTCCTTGGTGAAGTCTGGTTGTAACCATCTTCTGCCTGAGTTGTTTAAAGTACTGAGGCACACAAGGTCCAGGAGATGACAAATCCTGTGATGATGAGGCCTCGGGTACCCACTTTTTACTCATGAGTGGTGTACTCTGGCTGCGTGATGTCCCCATGAAGCCTTCATTCCCATCTTCAGTATTCTCCTTCCAATTAGGTTCCTGGGCAAAGTAAAGACTATAGTGCCCTCTTTGTCCTTTTTCATTACCCTCATTCCTAAACTTGCTCTTTCTTCTGCAACTCTCTGAATTCTATTTCATTTTTCCAAAGAAAATCTGGTCATGCAGATCTGTGGGAAATCATCCTGAGTCAGGCAGTGTGTTCTAAACACTGATCCTAGTAAAGTAATTAATGTTTGCAGTTGGTCTGTAAATGGGGGATTCTGATTTTTCCAATTATACAGGTCACTAGCAGAAAAAGGGGCATACACTAAAATAGACAGGATAGTCTCTCTGGCTTCATCATGGCTTTACGTCTAAGGAGAAAAACAGAAACTGGATTGGAGTATGAGACCTCCACATCCCCTCAGTCTCTCACACACATAGGAGAGATGTGGCATTTGAGGGACAGGCTTTAGCTAGCACAACCACTATACAAGGCTCTTTCCTTGGATCTAATGGATCCAGTTCCACCAGTCACCACTGCTTGTGATGGAAACTCCAGAGACTGTGCAGGTGGAGGACAGGGTGTGTGCAGGCTTCATTAGGCCAGGTCATGA